CCTTCTCCAGTGGGTCCTCCCAACCCAGGAATCAAACCGGGGTCTTGTGAATTGCAGGCAGATTCTTTATCAACTGAGCTATCAGGGAAGCCCAATAATCAGAATATCCCTCATCATAAAATCTACAAAAAATAAATTCTAGAGAGGATTTGGAGAAAAGGGAATGTAATTTGGACTGACACTGTGGATAATAGTATGGAAATTCCTTAAGAAACTAAAAATAGAGCTACCATATGATACAGCAATTCCACTTCTGGGCATACATCACAAGAAAACCATGGTTGGAAAGGATACAAGCACCCCGTTTGTTGTAATGCTGTTTACACTAGCTAAGACATGAAAAAAACTTAAATCCATTGACAGATGAATGGATAAAGAAGATGTGGTATGTATGTACAATAGAATATTGCTCAGCCATAAAAAAGAATGAATTAATTTACAGCAACATGAATGGACCTGAAGATTGTCATACTAAGTGAGTAAGTCAGGGAAAGAAAGGCACATATGTTATGATATTGCTTATATGTGAAATCTAAAAAATGATGCGCATGACACAAAGGGAAAAGGGTGGAGAGAGGGATAAAATCAGAGGGTTGGGATTAGCATATACATATCACTATATGTAAAATAGATAACCAACAATGACCTACTCTATAGTATGTGGCTCAGACAGTAGAGAATCTGCCTGCAATGCCAGAGACCTGGGTTCCATCCTTGGGTTTGGAAATCTCCTAGAGAAGGGAATGGCAACCCACTCCAATATTCTTGCCTGGAGAATCCCCATGAACAGAGGAGTCTGGCAGGCTACAGTCCATGGGGTTGCAAAGGGTCAGACACCAGTGAGCAATTAAGGATACATATATGTATATATATGAATATCTGTACTGTATAACTGAAACTAACACATTTAAATCAGTTATACTTCAATTAAAAAAAGGAATGAGTCATCCTTTCTGAATTTCCAAATTTCTAGAATATTGTGTGCACGCTGTCACTTCAATCATGTCTGACTCTGTGTGACCCTATGTACTGTAGCCCACCAGGCTCCTCTCTCCATGGGATTCTCCAGGCAAGAATACTGGGGTGGAGCGCCATGCCCTCCTCCAGGGGATCTTTCCAACCCATGATCAAATCTTCATCTTTTACATCTCCTGCATTGGCAGGCAGATTCATTACCACTAATGCCACCTTAATCTAGAATATTATTTAACTACAATTTGAATAGTCAGAAAAAAAAATTAAAATGTCAAATTTGTCAAAGAACTTGAAGAATGCTAAATTATTATCTAATAAAGACATTTTTAGGATAAAAGAATTCTTAGTGAGGCAAAAAAAGCTTTTAACTCAATATCTGCTATATGGATCTTGAAAAATAGCATGTGTATGTGAGCAATTAAAAGTTATGACGTAAAAATTTAAAAAAAATCTCAGAAAAAAAGATTAATTTCACTTAGTTATTTGAAAATGATGGAATCAGAAGAAAGGGTTGAAGCGAATTGTGTGCATTCAGCTTTGTAGGTGTTATATACTACCTGGGAATTTTATAAGGCATTATGTTCCCCTTACAGAGGAAAAAAATACATATATATTATTAAAATAAAAGTGGGGAGTTGCCAAGTGGGGAGTCAATTACTAGCTTCAGCTATCAAGTAATATAATTAACATGCTTGCATGCTTTGTTTATTTGAGAATATAATTTTATTAATCAAATATAAGCTATAATGGTGGCTACCTGGTGATTTGTAAATATATACACCTTGCTGAATAGCAATTTGGAGTCCATTAACTTCGAAAACTGTCAGGTGGAAGTTTCATGATGAGTTTGCAGAAATACACTCAAAATGGTAGTATCAGCTCATTAATGAAAGAGTTTGAGAGAAGTTGGCTTCAACTCTGTTGAAGGTCATTGAAAAAGGGTGGAAAGCACAACAGTGTTATCCCCAAATCACTTTAGTTCACTGTTCAGAGGAAATGATCACTGTCAATTAATCTTGTGGAGCAGGAAAATGCAGTCACACACAGCTATCAGAAGAAATGGTCTAAATCCAAGACTGTGTCTTGATGCATAGGTTCCAAGGGGAAAGTGCCACTGCCTTAAGGAGAAGGATAACTTGCATGGATTCTTTAAATTACTAACAAAACTTTATTTTAGAAGATGCTGAAGTTACTTTAGACTATGAATACATGAATATTAAACTTCTCAAGTTATTTAAAATTATTTTTAGAATTCATACTGCAAAGGTACATCATTTTACCTTCTCTAGATTCATTCCTGCTGCTGAGATTTCAAAGTGCATTAGTAGGGAGAAGGGTCTTTAAGATCTTAGAATGGCTAAGTCACAGCTAATAATAATAATACCTATTATTTATTGAATACTTTGCTTGAGTCAGGCATTTTTCAAAGCCCTATGTATATATTACAATATTTAGTCCTCTAAGCAACTCTATGTGTGTCATTTCCCAGCTAGATGTAAAAATTGCTGTAGTCTTGCAATAAATTTATGCCTGTGGAATGTGAGAGGAAAGGATATGTGCTGCTTCTTGGCCAAAGCCTTGAAGAAGCAGGCGTGCATTCTCCTCTATCACTTTTTCTTTTTGCCAGCTGGTATGTCAAGGATAAGGGTTTCCCTGATAAGGTCTATGGGATGGGAAGAATTGCATATTGGAAGAAATAAATTTTCTCATTCATCACAATGGTAAGTGTCATTCACAATCCTGATCTCTGCCCTGGATGACTACAAGTGAAACACATGGACTTCTGTTTTGTTAGAGCTCTTATATATGTAGATCTATTTGGTTGGCATTTTAGACTACTGTAATATTATATCTGTGTTATGGTGGAGGAAATAGAGGCACAGAATTTTTATTTTTATTTTTTTCAGAATTTTTAAAAGAAATTCCTCAATTGCTGATTATCCTAATGAGCTTTGAATCCATGCCATCTAACCAGAGACTACTGGCTTTTTAACTACTTTGCTATCCTTACTATCTCAGTTTTGTGTGGTGTCTAAATTGTTAACAGAAAATAGTTCAACTATTGCTGATCTAGAAGAAATGGCTGGAAGCAGCAGATAGCCAGTGAGTGTAATGTGTAGGAAGAGATTACTCTTGTTGACTTAGGGAAATAGTTGATGGATAAGAAGTTGGAGGTTATGGGCAATAAAACTACTCACCAAGGGAAGGATTTCAATCTAAGTCTAATAAGTAAAACTATTTTTTTTTCCTCTTCTCTAACCTTTCCCCCTTGCCCAATGCACTAAGAGGAGTTAATCATTAAAAGGGGAGAAATTGGAGACGTTTGTAGAAAGGAGATTTCCAAGGCCCCTCGATTTATGAAGCCACACACAGTTCAGCTCTGCCAGGGTTTTGGGAAAAGAGAACTTCAAGTTTGAGATGAAAAGGCTTTTGTTGTTTGTTTTTAAATGATAATAAATATGACATAATTTAGATCTCAGTATACTCTATTAACCAAATGTGAGAGTAGGGCTATGAAATAGGAATGCCATTAAAGATAATTTAATATAGTACAGATTAAAACATGGTTGGGAGGAGGGCATGGCAACCCACTCCAATATTCTTGCCTGGAGAATTCTATGGACAGAGGAGCCTGGTGGGCTTCATAGGGTCGCAATGAGTTGGACACAGCTGAAGCAATTTAGCATGCACATGAAACATGGTTAGGGAAAACAGCCTCCATGACAACTAAACAGATATTTGTTTACATTTTAATTAGGATAACAGTCATCTTTATTTGTGCCCTGGAAACCCCTAAGTCCTGAGTAAACCAGGGTGGCTACTCACTCTGATCCCAGTGGGCTGACCTTCCTTTAGAACTATTTATATCTGCTTTTCACTTTCTATATCTGCTTTTCACTTTCAATTCAATGCCATTTATATCTATTTTGCCTCTTTCTTGACTATCATTAGCCAAACATGAGCATCAGAAGTTCACTAAACATGCTGTTATTCCATTACTTTTTGCCATTATATATTTACTTTAATGCTGCATTTTTCCTATTCAAATATGCTGTTCTTCTGGTAACACCATCTCACCATTCTCATCATTCAAAACCTGGTTTAAGAATGGACTTCTCTGTTAAGTCTTTCTATTTCCCCAACTCCAGCTAGAATGGACAGCTCTTTCTTTGCATCCTGTATAGACTTTTATTTCAGTAGATGTGACCTATTATTTCCCTTCATGTTTCCACATGCATAGATCTCTCTCATATCTCACAAGTTGGGATCAGTGTGATCTGACTTCTGAAATCTGCAAATATATTTTTAAAAGTCAAGGGAAGGTGATTTATATGTTTTAATGCTATTCTCTCAAACAACCTGGAGGAATAAAGTGGGGTGGAATGTGGGAGGGGGTTTCAGGATGGAGGGGACACATGTATACCTATGTTCAATTCATACTGACATATGGCAAAAGCCATCACAATATTGTAAAGCAAATATCTGCCAATTAAAATAAATACATTTTTTTAAGTCAAGGAAAAGAATAAGATTTTTTGATTAAAATATAGCATTTTAAATAAATATCAATCTGCTATGAAAAATGTAAAAAATAATGTAGATAAGCACTTTACCTGTTTAAGAATAAACCTCTCTTTTACCGTGACAATTTGTAGTTGAAAGATATTTTATCAGAATAAAATGCAATTTCTGTGAGTTAGTGGTTTTGTAAGTTGTGTTTTATGAACTGTTACTACATCACTAATTCTTGGGATTTTTGTTGTTGTTGTTGTTAAAAAGGGTCTGTAAGTCACTAACATGCACTTAAATTCCAAATGTGATGATCATGACATTTGTTACTCACTGTTCACTTCTTTATGAGTTTTTACAAAGCTGAATTTCCTGACTTCTCTCAAGAATGTGCCTTTGAACATTGGAGTATTCCCTTTCTCTCAATCATTGGTGCTCTCTAGTAGAGAATACCTGAAATGGTCCACGTGTGTGTTGGCCTAATCGTTTAAGCTCAAGAGACTCAGCTTCATTACCTTTCATTGAAGGTACCAGGACAGAAGGGCTTTAAAGTTCAGCCAAGCTCTAAGTAGGTTGCTACAGTGAACCCGTAAGCCTATCTGCTTGACTGAATCAATGTCCTGGCTCAGGATTGTGAGGTCACAGGAATAAAATTCCACATGTTCCTAATCCCAAAGGAAGCATTCTGTAGTTAAGATTATGGTGGGAATTTAAAATTATGTATGAGATAGTTTATCTTTAAACTAGTGAGAACAGAAGTAAGAACCTAATTCCATTTAAACTAGATATGAAATAACTTGGGCTTCACTGGTGGCTCAGAGAGTAAACAGTCCACCCACAGTGTGGAAGACTGGGCTCCATCTCTGGGTCAGGAAGATCCCCTGGAGAAGGGAGTGGCTATCCACTCCAATATTCTTGCCTGGAGAATTCCATGGAGAGAGGAGCCTGGTGGACTACAGTCTAGCGGGCCACAAGCAGTCGAATATGACTGAGCAGCTAACACATATGTAATAAGTTTGAAACTTGTAACAATTACTTACAAATATTTGAATAACAAATATTGGAGGGAATCAACAACCTATGGAGATACACATCAAAGAAATAGATTTAATTCAGGGAACATAGATTCTTTGTAGAATCATCTTTTTAAGAAGGATGTTAATAATTTAATGTGGTAGGAGATAAGTTTTTCAAGCAAAGCCTTAATACTTTAAATTAAAACGAAAAATAGCATCTCTTAAAATATTGAAGAAATTGTACATGCAAAAATATTTTAATTTTTGAATTTTAAATTTGTTGATCATTTGTTGGAAGTTAATGGGCATTTCCTATGTGGCTTGCTTAAAAAAAAAAAAACTCCATAGAGATTCTGTAATAACTTATACAGAATGTGTAAAATAAAGTGAAAACTTTTTCTAGTCTACATAGATTATTTGGACAATCCTGAACAATCACTACTTTTTGACAATTTAATATCATATTTAGCAGCAAGACCATAATTTGCAAAAGTCAGTGCAAAATAACTACTTTTTCTAGGGCAAGCATGTGTTCTTTTCAAATACTGTTTCAAATAACCTTAATTTCCTTTATCTTTGAAGCTTACTCTTCCTCATGAAAATCCTTTTGTATGGCAACAATTAAGAACTGTGAAGGACTTTGGATTTTATACTACTTCCTGGTTAGTAAATTAGCTTACCACAATTTTATGAGTGCTAACAGAAGACAGGAGAAACCTTGGGTCAGAGAAAAATTTATATTATTCATGACACAGGGTCAGCATGACAGTCACATTCACTTCTCATCTCCTTGTCTCCTGAGTCCCATGGTGGCAAAGTAGAAGGGCCCAGATAGATGCTCACAAAAGTTTGAAGAATGTCAAGCTTAAGAAACCTACATTTGTTATAATAATGGCTGCAGGCAAATCTACAGGATGTTGCCCTTGAGGGACATATTATCTGTAATATATCAGCCAGTCAAAAAAAGAAAAAAAAAACAAACTTTTTGCTCTCAACTCTGAAGAAAGATGCCATCTCCATCTTTCAAGACTGGTAATCGTTACAACACTTTTAAACTCTAGAACAAAGGCTATTGGCTCAGATGACTTGTCTTAAGATGTTCAGAGATGTAGCTCTAGAAAAATATTATGGAATTAAAGATGGTAATGATGACCCCATATGCAAGACAGCAAAAGAGACACAGACATAAAGAACAGACTTTTGGACTCTGTGGGAGAAGGCAAGGGTGGGATGATTTGAGAAAAGAGTATTGAAACATGTATATTATTTTATGTGAAATAGATCACCAGTCCAACTTTGAGGCATGAAACAGGTCACTCAAAGCAGGGGCAATGGGACAACCCAGATGGATGGATGGGGAGGGGTTTGGGAGGGGGTTTTGGGATGGGCGACACATGTACACCCATGGCTGATTCATGTCAATGTATGGCAAAAACCACAATATTGTAAAGCAATTAGCCTCCAAATAAAATAAATAAATACTTTAAAAAAAGAAAAACATTATGTTTTTTGTTTAAAAAATAGAAAATCCAGAAAACCACAAACATCTCCATTTTCCTGTTTTCCAAGTCTTAGTGAAGATTGCCAAGCTATTATCTTTTAAGAGAAAGGCACTTCTGGAAAATAATCTTTTCTTCTTTGTCTTGCTATGAAACAAAGAAAAATAATGGAACCTTAAAGCTGATATCAAACTTACTTTGACAAAACTTCTAGTTCATGATGTAGGAAACAACCATGTGTATTAATGAAGGTATTTCTCTGGTATGTTGTTTTAAAGTCTAAAAAAATAGATTATTAAAGCCAATAAGTATGATACACCCATGATATGTAGCATGACCATTAAAAGTCAAATTAAATCAATTACCCCTCAGTTAAAAAATAAATACTTTTTTAAAAAAAGATTTAAAAAAGACAAGTTTCCAAATGATATTTAATGATACAGAAAAGTAAACTTTTTTAGTGTAAAGGTAGTGCTCACTCATTATATCACATTTTAAGACTATTTTATATTGAATCATACTTAACAGTAGTATATTAGTTTCAGGTGAACATCAAAGTGATGGCCTTACATATACATGTATGTCTTATTTTTTCCCATTTAAATTATTGTTGAATATTGAGCAGAGTTCCCTGTGCCATACAGTAGGTTCTTGTTGGCTGTATATTTAATAAATAGTAGTGTGTACATGTCAGTTCCAAACTCCCAGTGTATCCCTCCTCCCAACCCTTCCTTCCTGGTTACCATTTTTGTCCTCTAAGTCTGTGATGTTTAGGTTGCTTCCATGTCTTAGCTATTATAGTTATGATGAATATTGGGTTCACATATCTTTTCAAATTATAATTTTCTCCAGATATATGCCTAGGAAAGGGATTGCAGGATCATATATGGTAACTAAATTTTAGTATTTAAGAAACCCCATACTGTTCTCCATAGTGGCTGTACCAATTTACCTTCCCACCAGGAGTGTAGGAGAGTTCTCTTTTTTTCATACCCTCACCAGCATTTATTATTTGTAGACTTTTTGATGATGGACATTCTGACTGGAGTGGGATGATACCTCATTGTAGTTTTGATTTTCATTTCTCTAATAATTAGCCATATCGAGCATTTCTTCACCTAATTATTGGCCACCTGCATGTCTTCTTTGGAAAAATGTATGTTTAGATCTTATGCATGTTTTTTAATTGGGTTGTTATATATAGATAGATAGATAGATATAGATATATCATTTATATATTGAGTTGTATTAGCTATTTGTATGTTTTGAAAATTAATCCCTTTTCTATTGTATCAATTGTAAATATTTTTGCCCATTCCATAGGTTGTCTTCTTGATTTGTTTGTGCAAAAGTTTCTGAGTTTAATTCAGTCCCAAATATTCATTTTTGTTTTTATTTCCAGTACTCTAGGAAATGGATCCAAACAAATGTTTCTTTGATATATGTCAAAAAGTGTTCTGTGTTTTCCTCTAAGAGTTTTATAGTATCTGGTCTTACATTTAGGTTTTTAATTCATTCTGAGCTTATTTTTGCATATGCTATTAGAGAATTTTCTAATCTCATTCTTTTACAGGTAACTGTCCAGTTTTCCCACTACCATTTAGTGAACAGACTTTCTTTTCTCTATTGTAGAGTCTTGTCTCCTTTGTTATAGACTAATTGACTGTAGGTGTGTTGATTTATTTCTGAGTTTTATATACTGCTCCATTGAACTGGATGTATATTTCTTTTTTGTGCCAGTATATTATTTTGATTACTGTAGCTTTGTAGTATAGTTTTTAGTCAGGGAGTCTGATTCTTCCAGTTCTGCTTTTCCTTCTCAATGTTGCTTTGCTTATTTGAATTTTTTCAATCATTCAAAAAGTTAATTGTACACTTACTATGCATTGAACCCTCTGCTGCATCTAAAAATACTGTGTGCATTTATATAGGGAAGACCCCTACTCAAAGTTTATATAGGGAAGACCCCTACTCAGAAGACAGATTGGAACAGTACTTAAGCAGCAATCTGAAGAAAGGGTGAGATCTATCTAAGGAAAAGAGAATCAAGGTCATTCTAGATAGAAGAAACATTTGTTTAATGGCCACAGTGATGCAAAGTTTGTGTTGTGTCTTTGAAAGGAACATCTCTGTGGATGTTTGGAGGGAGAGAGAAGACGTTTATCTTTTCAGAACAGATGTGGACTCTCCCTGGAATGTAAGACCACACTGCCTTAACATTTCACATGCACTTTAAGCATATTTTAAAGTTTATAAATACTATTCTTAAATCATGGCAATGATTAATTTGCTAAATTTTCTCACCTTTTCTGAGTTGTTCTCAGAGGCTATAAAAGCCAACATTTAGAAAGCAATTAGAGTATGTTGCTAATGTTCACTATCAAAGTGGAGACAAAGGAATAATTAGAGAAAGTTTCCCTCACAGTACAAGCATGAAGGAAAGGAACAGTATTGCTAAAAAAGGGCATGCAATTCTACCTTGACTTTTTTCCTGTACCTCTCTTGTGGAAAAAGTAGCCCAATCTTCAAGAGAAGGTACAATTTCAACCCAGTAAAACTGATATAAATGTTCTTTCCCCCTACAGATTCATTGTAAATTGCAAATAAATAAATGGTATGTAAGAACATGCTTCAAGTGTATGAAATGCTATAGAAATTGAACCTAATACCATTACAACCTCTCATCAAGATGAGAATTAAGAGTTCAACAGAGAATGCAGCAGTAAATAAAAAAACTTACTTTACTTGAAAAGCTGCATTTCCAGATGAGAGAGAAAAACTGAAAATCACCCTCCAATATGCCTTCAGAAACATTCCTCATTTCAGGCTTCATAGGCTTTTCTTTCGGTTGATTCACAAGTTTTCAGCTTCACTAGTGGCTCAGGTGGTAAAGAATCCACTTGCAATGCAAGAGTCCCAAGTTTGATCTCTGTTTGGGGAAGATCCCTTGAAGAAACGAATGGCTACCCACTCCAATATTCCTGTCTGGAGAATCCCATGTACATGGGAGCCAGGCAAATTATAGTCCATAGGGTTGCAAAGAGTGGGACACAAATTAGTGACATTCACTTTTTTCACAGTAATTTTCAAAA